GGGTGAGGGACGAGGACCGGACCCGGGTGGAGTCCGGCCGGGCGTGAGCTTCAACTCAAAAAAACAGAAGAAAAAACCAAAACAAAGCCCTAAAAAGACTTTTAAAACGACATTTGGAGCCACGGCCGCTTCTTCAGGGCCTGCTGTAGCCTCGCACCACCTGAAATCAGGCACGAGGGGCAGTCGGTGTGCGGCAGCAGGGCTGAGGGGACCAAGTCCCCGGCGAGGGATGGAGCTTGCTGGGTGGCCGGGGAAGAGGTTTGGTTTCTCCCAGTTAATACTAATTTCCTGATAGTCGGTGATGAAGTGCCCTCAGAGCGGGTGAGCAGTGGGGCTGTGGAGAGCCAGGCCACCTTCCTCCCTCTCTCGCTGTCCAGGACAAGATGAAGCCTTGGAGGATACCCTGTACCGAAACAGCTGGGTTGGAGTAGATAAGCTTGGTCTAGGCGATGTTTCCTTTGCACACTAAATCGATTATAGATGTAGCATGTTGTACAAAACATGTTTTCTTATCTCTCTGGCTTGCTTAAATCGGCTTTATTTAGCTAATAACATCATGTTGGAATAATGCCTTTGTCTGCTTTAATTGCATTCTAGTCCTTTTTGCAGTGCTTTGTCAATCATGAGTAAAAAAAACTACAAAAAACTTTCCTAAAATATTTAACATATTAAAAATTTTGCAGGTGTATATTTGTTTAAATATACTTTCATAGCTGTAATCTGTCCTCATTACTAAATGAAGTGCTAAATTTAGCATAAAAACTGTCAACATGTTCCAATCAACATGTCTTAATGACTGCCAACAAATGGAAATGAGGCTTTCATGGAAAAAAAAGCTGAAAAGGTACAAATGCAGAACAAGATCAGATCAACTGCTTTGGTAAAAGTCTACTTCTCGCTGCATGAGGTCACGATTTAAATCGATCCATCGCGTTCGTGCTATTATTTTTGTTGTTAATAGAAATATTGACTAGCTGTGGACAAGGCAACGCTCCTCCAGGGACCTTTTTGTGGTGTTTCCTTTTGTTAGGACCTACGCATTGAGGTCTCCCAGCCAGCCGTTTTTCAAACCAGTTAACATCTGCCTTGTTAATTCCATCTAATGGAGGTTTGTAATCAAGATGTCAGGTGGTGCTAAATCAAGCACCTCCCCAAAGTGCAAAATGTGTAATGTCCGCATTATTGCCTTTATCAATCAGCTTTCCATTCTTACAAAAAGATTTTCTTTTTTTATCCAGGCTTGTCTAACAGGGCCCTCTTTCATTGAAACAACATGGACTTCTCTCTCTTTTTCTTTTTTTCTTTTTTTTTTTTTTTTCTTTCTCCTTTCAAGGTGTCCCAGAAGATCCCTTCCTTTATTCTGGCCAAGACTGATGTTAGTGCGTTTCCTGCTTACCCTTGCTAAAATATCTGCTGCTGTTGGCAGACTTCCAGTTCTTTCACATTCCCCCTTCACGCTTTTTAAGGGTTGTAGGAATTAACATTTGTGGTTCGGAATATGAGAAATGCATTTTGAAGTGGCACTAGCTGACACCAGGTAGAGTTGTGGCCCTGAATTTCAAATACTATTGATCATTTGCCAGTGAATAGGGCCATAGAGTACCCTTGATTTGCTTTCCTTTAGCTGTCCTGACTGGCAATTAGTTTTTAGACCTGAGTAAGGCTGAAGGATCTCAGTTTAAGGAAGATGAGAAATAGCAATGACTCTGTATTTTCCAGGTGTCTCATGTCTTTTTTTTTTTTTTTCCCCCCAGGTTTTAATTACAAGTAAAAGGCAGGTCTTTGAAATATAGGATGGCTACTCATCAGCTTTTACAGACTAGGCAAAAGAACAAGTCCTCTAAGGTAAAAACCTTGACGTGTGATGCTGCTGACAATCTTGGCTTTCAGTTTTGGACCTGGCACCTCTGTGCCTGATGAGGTGGGAATGCTTTCTGTTGTCTGCGCTGTTCTCAGTTGGATGATTTCCAATTTAGTGAGTCCAGGAAGATACAGCGCGGGGCTTTGACATGTATTTGACTAAATAAATGAAGACTCATTAGATGTGCGCGGAGCTTTATTAGCAGGAAGAAAAGCAACTAATAGAGGAACTAAATTTAGTATACTTTCCATTGAGATTGTTCATGTTAGAATCGCAGAGTGTTTAGTATTTACATCCAGTATTTACATCATAGCGCTGGCACTTGTTTGACTCCACAATTAACTCTGTAGAGCTAAGCTGGCAGGAAACTGTAGTGGTTTTTTGTTTGTTTTTTTTTTGTGTAGGGGTGGTTGTCTGCTAAGTGGCAGATTGGTGCAGTGGAGGGGGTGGGAATGTTCAGCTGTGATAAAAGGGGAGGGAATGACCAATGCAGTTCGCTTCTGAGTAAATTGTGCCAGATCTAATGATAACGATCCTTAAAACATTTAATCCTACCCAAGTTAGATGTTAATCTTCTCTGTGTAGTATGAAGACTGGAGAAATGTTAAAATCACATTTCTAAGTTACCTTCTTTTTCTGCCTGCTGAGAGTTGTTTGTAAATACAACACTAAAATGGTGCTATTTCTGGCTTTGCCCTTCTTTTTCAGGAGCTGTTGTTCCCCAACAAAATTGCTACTGAGCAGCAGTCTGTGGTGCTGGTGAAAAGACTTCTGGCCACCTCTGTGTCCTGTATAACGTACATGAGAGGGCTGTTCCCAGAGAGCTCTTACGGAACTCGTTATTTAGATGGTAACACTCTCAGTTTGTGCTGAATTCTTATTTATACTTCCTATATTTTAGCTGTAATCTGCTTTACATGTTAGCTCCGGTTGCTCATATACGTATGAGTTCAGTTGATGAGGAAGTTTGCTGACAGGCCTTCTCAAGTCTGGATGCAGACAGTGCTTCTGCATTAGAGAGCATAGAAGACAACCTAGAGCTGTTGGCCACTCATGGCTTTTCTCTTAGTGTTTCTTCTGGTTTATAATCATTCCTTGGCGTTGCCAGCCCTGAGAATCAGGTCTCAGAGTCAGGAGATTGACTTAAAAATCGGTAAGTTTTTAAAAATTAACTCTGATTGGTGTGTTTTATTTTCCTTTGGATTTTTGAGCCCTCGAGGTTCACGTTTTCAGCTTTCCTTGTGAGAGTGAAAGCAGATTTTATTGTTGGGGTTTTTTTTCTGTGAAAACTTGTGCTTGGGAATCAGAATTATAAGGAAAAAAAAAAGTATGAACCAAAGTCTGATCATAGAATCACAAGAATTAGTGATGCTTTGATTCATCAACATCTTTATGTTCACATGAGATGTGGTAGTAGGGTGCGAAATGTCTTTCCATGCATTCCAATCAATTTCCATGTTTTCACTTAGGCAGTTAGTTGTCCTGAAATATGGTGACATGGACTCAGTTGACGGCACAGGAAATCCCAAATTGGCTCTTGATCACCCAACCTTGAAAAGCCACTGGTCTTTCTAATCAAATATTAGGTCTTTGAAGTGCCTTTTTGATCAGGCATATTAACATCTGGTCTGCTCATGCCTGTGAGGGCTCCTTGGTTCAATCCTAAGGTGTTAGTAATTCACCGCTTCATTTTGCAGGCCAGGTTTCCTCTTGCCATTCTGAATGTTTTTTCTGTGCATAGTCATTTCTGTCGTATGGATGTTGGTGAAGTCTTGAGTGCAGAAGTGAAGGTGTTGTTAGGGAATGGCGAAGTAGATGGGAGAGGAGGGAGGAGAGGACAGAAGCTGCTGGTGTTTCAAAATTAAGCCATATCTCTAACACTTTTCCTGGGAGAGCCTCGAGCATCTGAGGAAAGTCTTGACATTTGAAAATGCAGCAATAAGACTGTGTCAGCCCACCTGGGACTCAGTGGGAAACCAACATTTCCACTCAGGAAGGACTTCCAGATAAAGCATTTTATCCAAAAAAGGGAGGGTGACTGGCTTAGTTTCAGTGTTTGCCCAACAGCTGCGATAAGGATTGTAACTATGTGCTAAATCTGGTTTTGCAGACCTCTGTCTAAAAATTCTCCGAGAAGATAAAAGCTGTCTGGGATCATTGCAGATAGTCAAGTGGTAAGTGAGTAACAGCGAAACTAAGACAAGATTGTGCTGAATAGCAAGACATCTACCCCTTGCATTCTTCTTCTTCCTGACTTTGAAAATATTGTGCCCAGTAGTGCTATCGACTGTGCCAGCGCAACTCCCGCTGCTGCAGCGTCTGTGCTTGGCCGTCTGCGTAAGCAAGACAGAATTAGCTGACCAAGATCATGTGAGTTCAAGGACTGTTGAAGTGTTGAGTGCAGCGAGGTCATGGTCAGGCCCCAGAGCACGCACAGCCAGTGTAGGTACAGAGAGAGGGCAAAGAAAATCATGAGATTGATGCTGTTGTTGTTTAGTCTTTTCTAGTTTCACTTTTTATAGAGATTCTTGCAGCTTGTTTTTCTAGTATGTGCAATATTTTGTCTCCCTGGATATCGTGTTACAACTTTCTTGTGTGATATTTAAGATGTATTTCAGAGTTGGCATGTTCCCAACAAGCAAAGCCCGACTTTGATGTGCTAAGGAGATACCTAACTGCACATCCTTTGACTCAGAGAGTAAATATCTGACCATTGCTACCTCAAGTAATGTTTACTACTTTGAGAAAGTCCATAGCTGTAAACTATGCATCTGATAACAAAGATTTACAAGACCAGACATGTCAGGCTGTGTTCAGATTGAAGCTTCAGCCAAGCGCTGTCCGAGGCCAGTGGGAAAAGAGCCATCAGAGATCAAGCTGGGGAGCCAGAACAGAGCAGTGAGCAGAGAGCCACTCAGAGTCAGCCTTAGGCCACCAATCCTTGTCTTCCTCAGGATTTAAGTGGGCTCTCGGCTGACAGGATATGGCCCTACAAGTATAAACAGTGCACAAACGCCAAGGGGAGGAGAGTGCCTTTATGATGGTTGACCTGAAAAGGACTTTACAAGCCCAAAAGGTTGCTAGCTGTGTTGTCTTAATTCCAGAAAAAAAAATAAATGCACTTTAAACTGTATCTAATGAGCGTGTGTTTACAGAGCAGGAAATAAATATTGCTGGTTAGTATTAACATGTCTTTTCCTGGCAGGATTCAAGGTTGTTTTGATGCTTTGGAGCGGCAGTATGTAAGTTTTTTCATGTTTTTAATGGGAGTTTCCTATTTCTTCATAAAGTATGGACAAAACTATCTTTCCCTTCCTGCTTTATATTTTTTGTCATCATCTTGCATGCACACAACACGCATTCACAGCTGTGGGATAGGAGGACGACCCTGCCCTGAGTATACGGATGTGAGAGTTGGGATGTTATTCCTTGAGCCCGAATATTGACCGCTGTTGCTCTCTAGGCTTCCCCGTACGTGGTGTGTGAACTAATTTGCAGCCTGAAATGGATTTCCTTCAGTTCTGTGTTCTACGTTTGCGTTCTGTAACGTCTGGATAGAGACACTGCCAGTCAGAACTGAGATCTTGATCTCTATGACTGTTTTCTTGAGAGAGGTTCTTCTGTGTTTCTGCTTTCCTTCATCTCCTTTCCCCATGTCTTTTCCCTTCTCATCTTCTCTAACCCTCCTAGCTTTTCCTCTTGGGTTCAGAATTTAGTACTTTTTTTCAAAAGTAATTCATCAAGTAATGTCTATAGCTGGTTCCAGAACAAAATCAGCTAGTAAGTGATCACATTCCTTGCTGATTCTCACGTAAAAACTGCTCTGCACAGGAAAAAGCACCAACTGTTGTCATCTCTGTCAGCACTGTTCATCAAACCAGCTCTCATCTAGATCAGATGAAGTGGTGTTCGTTTCGGCACTGATGATCAGATGGGCTCTTATACATCAGTACAACTGTCAGTGTGCATAAGATAATTCAAAATGTTGTGAACTCGGTTTATTGATTGCTGACGGTTCTGGGAGGTCCTCTGCTATTTATGAGACATAAATTAATTGTTATTTGACAAGGATTAAAGAAAAAACAGAGATACCTAATGCATGTTCTAGAATTGTTTTTAAGAGCAGTCCCAGGTATATTTTCTTGCTATAGGATAAATTAAATACCTTTGGGGAGTTTCATAGCAGAGAGCAAATACTAGTCTTCAGTAGGGATGGATGGTCTTGTAAAAGGGTTTTAAATTGCCATAGCCTTGGGAGATTTGTTTAGGAACAGTCTCAAGAGAGAAGTCTGACCTTGCAGTTGTTTTCTTGGGAAACTGCGTGGAAAGCCGAACAAACTGGCCACTAGGTGTTGCTGATGCTGTGCTATGAAGAATGCATTAAGATTTTTAACTCACAGTTTGTTATCTGTTCCTTCACTCTATGTAGGCACTTAGGTTTTGATAGGTCTTTCTTTTCCTTGCCCGCTAAGGTTAGATTTTGATTTTGTGTTTTGTTTTTCCCTCCTTAGTTACACATTGCTGTCCTCGCAGTAAGTAAATGAATACAAGGCATTTTTCTTCCCTTGCCCCTCTTGAAAGAGTCATGGAGTCAAGGTTGTGTCAACCCATTTGTGCTTTTTTTAAGGGGAAGTCAAAATGTATGTGGTTTTTGATCGAGCACTGACCTTTCTTAAATATGGTAAATATGAACTTCCTAGGCTGCGTGGGAATATTTTGCTCAGTATGTCAGATTCTCAGGCATTACATGCATCCTTAAACTCTGAGAAGCACTTTCATGTGCTTCATATCATTGCTTCCTTTAAACTCTTGCCTCCACCCTTGGAAGCTGCTGTGTCTTCTCCATTTCCCCCTGCAGAAGAGTCCTCCTTATTAATCTGATGGTACTGAAGAAACCACACAGTAGCAGTTACATAGCAAGTCTTTGCCCTGGTCCTTTGTAAAGCCCCAAGAGCTATGCTACGCATCTGTTCTGTACATAATCTGAGTAGTTAAATCTCGGGCATCAATAATTGCCTGTGAGGGTTGGAATGGGAATTCACCTCATTCCTCCACAATTACACTGATGAGCGGCTTCTACCTGTCTTTGAAGTGGTAAGTATTGACTGCTGATAGAGGAAGGCTGTTTCTCAGCCATTCCTTTCTCTGATCCCACGCTAAAGATAGTACAATCTCTGCTGTAAAATTAAAATATCGTTGTTTAGTCACTGGTTCAAGTTATCCAAGGAGAGAATGCCCTCACTGTGCTTTCTTATAACAGATTTACACCAATCCCAAGGAACCGGAGGTAAGAAAGAGTCTTAATTAATCTTTGAGGCAACTGAAGGCATGGGTGAGTAGATCTGTATTCAGAGTGGACTTGTAGGCTTAAATTGTACCCTGACATAGCTGCTTGGTGACCCTGTTTCTCTTCTTCTGCCTTCACTCAAGAATGACAGCTCAGTGAGCTGGATGGTGATCAAACGCTCCTACCAGGCAGTAGGCTGTGGGCCCATCTAGGGCCTCAGGCAGGGATGTTCACAGGCAACTAATGGGCATGTTGGTGATTTTGGTTTTCTTTCCTGAAAAGAAAAAATGGGAAATTAAAAAGATGGTTCATAAAAGAACAATTTTGAGCAGCAGTGTTGCAAAGAGAGCTGTTTTTTTTCCTTCCAGAGGGGTTTAGGACAGAAGTTATCAATCACTTCAGACCTGGGATGTTGGGTAGTGCCTGTACTTGCCCTTTCAGTGTTCTCCGTTGCGTTTCTATTTTGTCTACATCTAGCCGGTGGAGACAGACTGGGTAGCGTGATCTGTAAGCGAGGTGCTGCATCCGTGCTGTCTCCAGAGAGCAGATGTGGAGAATGGCTGCAGAATCTTTGCTCGCCTGGTTACAGTTCTGCTGCATCACATCTCAGCGTCTGGGGAGAGAGCAAGAGTTTAAGTCTGTACCAAGGCTGGGATTTGTAAGGAAGGCTCAGAGTTAAGGGCTGAGTTGAGCTCCTACTAATTGACCTCATTGCCTCTGGAAAAAGAGAATTATAGGCATGGAATTGGACTACAATAGCTCCTTTCTCTTGTGGTAAAGCAGTCTGTTTTTCCTAATTGTTTTATTCTTTAAAATCATAGCAAATCTTTTCCTTTTAAATGGAAAATCATCTAGTTTTTTAATCTCCCTCAGAAAACTCTGAGATCAGTGAAATCCGGCAACTTTTACCCATGCAATATTGTATTTCCTGGTAGGAAGAGTCCTTCAGGCCCTTGTCTCCATACAGACTTCTGGGCCAGGCTTTCTTGGGACACGGCATCACCCGCGAAGCCTCACATTTTTTATTTTAGTAAGGGAGGACGTACAGACAACGTGATGGTTGGCTGGCCCCGAGGCCTCATTAGAGATTTAGGCTGGGGAGTCAGGCCCACAGAGGAAGTGGAAGGAGAAAGCAGGAAGTTTGTCATTTTTTTAATGAGTCTTTCAGTGCTAGGTAAGCTCTGGTTCTTAAGAAAATTTGCCAAAGCCTGTGCAAGCAGTAACGGAATTAAAACTATCCTTGTGCCATTAAATTAATGCTGTGCTCTGGCATAAAGTTGTGAAAGGACACTGCTAGGTTCAGTATGCATCTTTAAACTTGTTATTGAAAGAGACCTGTTTCTTCTTTTCCCCTCTCTTGTTAAATCTCTAGACAGTGACCGAACTGTATCAGTTCAAATTCAAGTACAAAAAGGAGGTGCCCCAGATGGACATCATCAGGTAATGGTTTGGTTTTATTTCTCAGAATTACACTGTGACAACTGTGTTCTTGAAGCATTAAGAAGAAACTGCACTTTATGATTAGAGCATGTCTGAGTTGCTAAGCAGCTGTAAATTTCATCAGAGATGATGCCTCATCAGGGTAGTGATGCAGAAACTGGCACTGTTGTTGAGCTTGCTACTGTCTCAACTAATAATGAGTGTTCTTCCACTTTCACAGAGAGCCTTGTGCTTTCGGATGAAGCTTTTTCAAGTTTGATACCTTTCACCATGATCCTGCACCCGGGATTTTTCTCCTTGGGCATTTGCATGTGTATTCTGCTTGAGCAGTCTTGCGTCGGTGACCTGAGAGAACGTTTGCTTGTGATGCCTGATAGTGCAAAACATGTGGCAGGAAGCAGCAACTTTTTGCATTTTTTTTGTCTCTCTCTGTCTGTTAGATATTTTCAAGCTGTGTTTAGTAGGCCATAATCCTGTGTGGTTTAAAATAAATACTATCAAAGGCTGTTGGCTGTAACCAAAGCAAAGAAAAATAATTAACCTGGGTTTAGTTTGCTGCTGCAGTTACCATTGGTGAAAGATGGATCTTTGGGTGTTGGAACCTGCCTGTACAGCAAGAGAGCTCTGCTGTCTTGTATGAGCCTCAGGATACTCCTCCTGTAGTGTGCCATTAGCTGCTGTTTCTCTCAACACATCCATGTAATTCGTTGTACATGGCAAAGTGATTTCATGAGGGCCACAAAGATGATGCGAGGGCTGAAGCACCTCTGCTATGGAGACAGGTGGAGAGAGTTGGTGGTGTTCAGCCTGGAGAAGAGAAGACTCTGGGGAGACTTTATGGGACATTCCAGTCCCTAAAGGGGCTACAGGAAATATGGAGGTGGACTCTTTATCAGGGAATGTAGTGGCAGGACAAGGAGGAATGGCCTGAAGCTGCAGGAGGGGAGACGGAGATGGGATGTGAGGCAGAAATCCTTCCCTGTGAGGGTGCTGAGGCCCTGGCACAGGGTGCCCAGAGAAGCTGTGGCTGCCCCTGGCTCCCTGGCAGTGTTCAAGGCCAGGTTGGATGGGGCTTTGGGCAACCTGGGCTAGTGGAGGGTGTCCCTGCCCATGGCAGGGGGTGGAATTAGATGGGCTTTGAGGTCCTTTCCAACCCAAACCATCCTATGATTCTATGATTCATTTTATGATTTCGTGTTGGGAAAATCTGAACTGTGTCTGAGTCTGGAGTGTCCCGTTGACTGTACCCTCTGTTTCTGCTTTGAAGCTGCTGTCGGTTGTCCTCACTACACTGAGAGAAAGAGGATAGCTTTGGGATCTGAAAGATAATAGATAGCTCTTGAGTACTTTGGTTTTTTTGATCAGCCTTACTTCAGTTCAGTTCCTAGAAATAACAGTCCCCAAATGGAACTCAGCACCTCTTGGTGTCCATTGTGGTAGCCGAGGAAAGGCTAAGTAATCTCGCTGTTGTGTTTATATCTGCTCCATTAAAATCTCGTTACTGCTCTGAGGCTTCAAAGCTCGTGGCCTCGGATTCCTGGGCTCTGTTCTCTTTCCTCAGCGACTGACACGGGTATTGTAGGTTCATGCGTGTACTTGCAGTCCTTAGTAAACTGATGTTCTGGCATTGATCAGAGTATTGTGTTATCTTTGCTGTCAGCTCCTTCACCTGATAAAACTGCTTTTATACACCTGTGAGGTTTATTGTCACATGCAAACTCTGAGTTAATCGTTCTGTGAGAGAGGTTTTGTGGGACTGCATCACCGTATCTGAGGGGTAAAGGGAAGCTTTCTCCTAGATGGTCTCTGCCTTCTTTTAGGTGGATTTTGGAGGAATTCCTTGCTACAGATCTCAGTCCTTCAGAGAGATTCAGTTCCTCAGCTTCTACCTTTTGACACATTCCTGCATTGTATTCACAATGTTATTCCCGTATTGAACTAGTTCTTGACCTGTTAATTCCTATGGAAGTCTCATCTCTTGTTTTGCTTATACTCTTCCCCCGCCATTTCTATTCTGCTAATCCCAAGACTCGTAAAGGTGATGTGTAAGAGAAGGCCTACCCGCTCTTTACTACACCTTAGGCATTGCCAGCGTTTGTCCTCTCGCTTCATGTACATTTCTGAACATACAGGATTTAATTTAATAGCACAGCGTGCTCAGCACAGAGTTTTGCTGTTGGCAGTTAGGAGCCTACCAAACCATTCCCTGTATACCCTGGGAGTTCAAGCTGGTCAACAGCCACTCTGTTTTCATGAAGAACCAAGAAGCTTCAAGTGGAAGGAGAAATCAGTCTTAATGAAGCTGTTCCTTCCTGTGGTTTAGTCAGTCAAATTCAGCCCTGGGATTCTCTCCGCTCTCTTAAGTTAGTTACTGCTTTCAAAGCAATTTGAGATGATTGTGTTAGAGACGATCCAGCCTGTATATCATGTCATCCACCTGCCAGTGGTCTTCAAAAGACTTAAGTTTTTACTGGAGGAGCTACCTTTTTTTAAGGTCCCTTCTCATTGAAAGCTGGGGAAGTTTAGGTTCCTTAGTCACATAGTGATTCATCCAGTCCATCTTAGCCGGCTGAGGTAAGCTGCTCATCTACCTCTGTAGTCAAGAGAAACAAACTCCTCCAGAGGGCGATTCATCCCACTCCTGTTAGACATTTATCTCGGTCTAGACTGCTTGCTTAGACTAGCCAGCTGACATTTGGATGGGTGAAGAAGGTGAGAGGAATGCCCCTGAGTCACTTTTGAAAAATGTGCTTCTGAGCTTGTTTTTCTTACATGGAACTGAAGTGGGAACATGCAATTCACTTCTCTTCAAACTACAAAATGGACTTGAAAATAGCCCCTGTGATGAATCGGCTTTATATGGGATTCTCACCTCATTCCTCTCATTCCTGAAATTGCTTAGGCGAAAGGCACTTGTTTTATGGTCCTTTGATCCAATTTAATCATGTTCAAACAAGTGAGTCATGACATTTGTATAATGGGGTCCATTGCCCCAGCTACAAAGTCTGTTCAAATGTAAATGCCATGCCTCTTAGTTTAGAGCTGTTGTTTTGCTGATGCCACCCCATCCCTGGAGTCTGTTTCACTTCCCTGTTTATCTGGAAATTACATAAAGGCATTGTAGCTTTGTTGCTGGTGGTTTCGAACAAGTCAGTGGATACACTGTATTTGTGATTACATCGTGAATATTCATGACTGAGGAAAACAAATCTGTTATTCTTCTTCCGATTGTAGCAACCAAATGAACGTGGTGAATGGGGTGTGCAGCAAGGATGTTAGACAGGCCAGCAGGCTCCTGATCCGTAAGCTGTACCTGTTAATGCAAAACCTCGGGCCGCTTCCTGATGACGTTACCCTGACCATGAAACTCCTCTATTACAATGACGGTAGGTGGAGAACAGCGTGTGCTGGGGGAAAAATTCCCTTTCCATCAATTTCTATGCTAATCTTGAGTCCCTGTAAAGTAAGTAAAGCACAGAAAGGTGAAATGGTAGAAGCTATTCACTGATAACAGTGAGAAATGGTGTAAAACATAGTAAAGCCTTCTGACTCACGGGACTGGCGGATGTTTTTTGAGAAAAGGTTGAACATCTGTGTAAGAAGTACAGCCATGCGGTAGGAAAAGGAGACATCCTTCTCCTTCACAGTTTTTGTGTTTGTTTTAAGGAGCAGGCGTCCTGCTTTTATCAGGTTCTGCTCCAGAAAGTTGAGCTCATTAATGGTATCTCAGCATCCTAATGTCATTATTACTGTGAGCTCCCTGATAACATTTGCTCAGCTCATTTTTTTCTTCTCCCTTCTTCCTGAAAAAAACCCCCCACGAAACCAGGATACTTTTAGTAGTTGATGTTGTTACTGGAGGCTGATATACAATTGTTCTTTATAAATCAGATTTCTCTGACATGAATGGGTTCTTTTTCCCTGTGTAGTAACTCCCAAGGATTACCAGCCCCCAGGCTTTAAGGAAGATGGCAACGCTGGTGACCTGTTGTTTGATGGCGATCCTGTCAACCTGAGAGTAGGGTCAGTCTCCACTGGGTTCCACCTCATGAAAGTGAGAGTCATAACTGAAAAGAAAAGAATGGGCACCGTTGAAAGCAACCTGATCCAGAAGAATGGCCCTACTGAGATCTCCCATCAAGGGTTAGACTGTGATGAAGAGGAAGAGGAGGGGAGCACAAAGGTATAGAAACAGCTCTATTTGGTTCCTGCTGGAGGAATGGAGTTTATCTATCAAAACTCTCCTTAAAAAACCCATTGTCTCAGAATCCAGGTTTAATAAGGGTTTCAGCTTGTGTAGGGCAGCAGCACTACAGCAGATTGAACGCTGAGGCTGGAAGTCCGTAGTCATAAACTGAATTTCATTCCAGCATATCTACTGACTTACCGAGGCCAGTATATTCTCCCAGAAGAGGGCAGTGATTGTACAGAGAGACACAACATGTGTGTGTGTGCACACATACGCACACTTATACACGGACAAGCACAAAATGGAGAAAATTGCAAAGAGTTTTGCATTTCCACTTGATGTTTCTCAGGACTAAGCCATGTTCCACTGTGTAGTTAGGTGGGATTATTTCCACTTACCTCTAGCCATCTAAAAGTCGTGTGTTGTGGCCAATTTCTCTGCGTTTAGTGGAGGAGGAGGCATCTTTAGCAGGTAATTCAGATTGTTTCCTTAGACACCAAGGTAGGCTGGAATCAATCTCCAAAATGACAGAAGGGGCAGCCTGGACTGGTAGCTCAGACTTGATGATTTAATTTTAGGAGGTCATTGCCAAGGAATAAACCCCAACATAACTAACTCCTGAAGATCGGAAGCCATTTAGGTTGGAATTCCATCTTTTCTTAGAAAATTTCTGTCTTGAAAGACCTGTAGGCTTGGGAGAAGGAAGGCCTGGCCACTGAGGAGCTGTGAAAATCTCATCCCTATGAGTGCTGGGTGTATGGATTTTCCACCTGGGCATATTGTTTAGGTTATGGTATTAAGACAAAGTGTCATTTGCTTTACAGAATCGCCCTCTCCCTGTCCAAGCAGATTCAAGTGAGTGTGGACGGGACAAAAGTGACACCCATCCAGGCTGGAAAACGGAAACATCTTTTTACTTTCAAGATACAGGTAAATGCCCAGTTCTAAAACTGAAGGAGCTTGTGCTCATGGCTAGCATAATATTTAGGTTTTCTCACTTACTTTGAAATGGATGAAGAGAGTTTGTCAGGCTGTTTGAATTTTGTGTCAGATCAGATTGAACTATAATAAAAGGCTAGTTGTACATGCATGATTTGTTAACAGAAACGTTCAAATTTTTATCAATATCTTTCTACCTCTTTATCTCAGCAGTTTTTTTCAGATACAGAGGAAATGCATGATTCACCAATACGGAGTTACATTATCTAGATTTTCACCAAAGCTCTTTTCCTTTAGCTGTTACAATTTAATTTTGCTAATGACTTCCATACGTGAAAACATACATGAAAATACATGAAAAAAAAAAAAAAAGCCTTTTCTCTCACTTCAGTCAACCTAGCTTCTGATATACCATGCTGTATTTGACCTTTGAGGCGCTCAGATATAGCCTGTGGAACAATACCATCTAGTGACAAAATGGTAAATAGCATTCCTGAGATCCCCAAGCAGTGGAATAAAGAGGTTTGTCTGCCTATGAAGTCACCTTTTCAGGTCTTGCTCCTGCAGATTCTCCGATGACTAATAAGGAGTGAACTCATACTGCCACCTTTTCCACTCCGGGGATATTAAGAGGATCTTCTTCCCCTAACTGGTTGCCTGATTTCATGAAACTGAGGTGCTTTGGGACCCCCCATCAAATTTTAGTGAAACTGTCTAATAAGGTCAATAGTTATTAGTCAGGGGTCAGCTCCCCTCCGTCCCCATACACACATACATTTGGACAGAGCACATGCAGGCATAAGCTTTGTTTTCTTAGAAACCGGGTTAAAACAGAGTTTACGTAGAATTGATAGGAGCTGCTACGAGTTGATGTTGCATGTTGAGACGACACTTTATTCTGAGGTCTCTGTTTCCAGGAATAAATTGGCGGCGTTGGCAGTGCTTGAGAGCAAAGGTTACACAATTTCAGATCAGGCATGGGATTTTACTACAGTGGTTTAGTCAGGCTTCTGGATTTTTTTTTTCAATTAAATACAGGGTTTTAACTTCAGAGCTAATTTTGATTTGATGTTTGGATTGTAGGTGGAAAGAAGACGGGAATAAAGGAGACAGGCAGGATGCTTTGCTCAAGGGCATCTCAGCAGGTGAGGAAATTTTTGTGGCTCTAAGATATGCCAGGCAAGGTGGAATTCATTGCCACAGAACATTATATCATCTAGAATGGCACAAGGTTCAACTAACATTAGTGGATTTATTGTGCAGTATTGAAATACATAGAGGCTGCAAAGTGTTGTGGCATAGGGATATAACCATGAACCGGAAGCATTTAGGAAGAAACTTTCCATGATCAGCTTATTTCATACATCCAGTACAAGAATTTTGTACTGTTCTCTGGAGTTGGCACTTGTGAATTACACCCACAGACTAAACCTATCAGTGTCCCAACTGGGCTGGTTTACCTTTGTGTGTTTTTTAGATTAAGGTTCTGAAATCACTGCCCTGTTTTAGGTTTGAAGAACATGTTTGCCTGTTGCCTAACATGGTCTTCACCTCTCCTTTCTTGCTTCCAGACTGTATTTACCTGTGAGTCACAGGTACTTACTGGATCCTATCCCTTTTTGGCTGCCTCTCTAGGATAGGAAGAATTATTTCCTGGAGGTGTTGATCTCTCTTTTTTTTTTTTTTTCAGTGGTTCTTGGGGCAGCCTAAAGAACTAGGGTAAACCAGACATGTAATTTTAGATAAGTAAAGTCATGTGAAATTAATTCCATCCGAAGGCTGCCCAGGGCAAACCCTGAGTCAGAATCAGAGCTCGAATTCATGGGCTTGTGCAGAGGTTTTTTCAGTGACAGGGCAAATCTCTGAATACCACCAGACTTGCCACTTGATTCTCCTCCCATTCAAATTAGTTGAAAATCGTGTGAGCTTGAGTGTTCAGAAACTGACTCTGTACAGGATAAGTTAATGAGTATAGGAAATTGCTACTAAAATTTTCCCCGCCTCTGTTGAAAAGAATCCCGGGGGTCTAACCCAGACAGCAACTGGAGACTGCAACTTAACGTGTCATTCAAAAGGCATCTGCAAAGTATTTGCCTTGACTCTGGATCTTAGAAGTGAACTTCTGTGCCTAGGCTGGTATTTTTCAAACTTTAACCACTCTTTTTTTTTTTTTTTCTGTCACATCCTCCAGTTTCCTTCTGATCGTTGTTTATTCCGTCGTCTGTGTGAAAACAGGAGCCTTTTTTGTTTGTAACTCATGGTAGTCTCACTGATTCATCCTCTGACATTCTTTCGGGTCTGTCACGACTGTAAGCAGAGCACCAGACACCTCTCTCTTGCAGCATGTGTATTTCATTAGAATACGGTAGCAATAGTGAGAGTGTCTGAAGGTGGTGGAAACTGTATTAGTTGCTGAAAAATGGAAGAGTCACTTTATCCGTTGTGTGCTTCCAAAGACTTAAAAAAAAAAAAAGAAAAAATCCCAAGCACTCTGCCTGGTAGATTCTGCACGGCAGAGGGTTTTTTTTTAATGTATTCTTTGATACCATTTTTAAACCATCATAGCTCAGAAGTTGGCTAATATTTCAGTAAGTTTAGGGAAACCAAAGTCAAGTCACTAGTTAAAAAGTGCAGATCATCATTATAAAGCCAGTGCTAATAAAAATTTGACACTATTTTCCATATGAGAGGGACTTTCCCTTCTTTTCTGAGGGAGGTGGTTAAAACAAATGACCATTGTCTATTCCACTTGAATCAGGAAGCCAAACTGGTGAGTGAAGTTAGTCTTGAAAAATGAAGACAAGCTTGGGTGGATGGGAAGTCTGAGTTTGGTATTATCTAACAGGGTCAAGTGTAGGTAAGGTGGGTAGAAGTAGTTCCTGTGAATGCAAACACCTTGTTGCTATCCAGACTTCGGTACAGTCAAGTAATAGTGTTTTCCAACTGTCAGTGTGTTCAGAGAAGCTCTCTGCTTTAAAAAGCTGTAACATCTCCAAAGTGACTTGTTTTCTCCTGGATTTCGGCATTTAATTAGATTGGTGTGTGAGGGGCCTTGGGACCAACCTACCCTGGGCCATGGAGGTCTGCTTTTTTGGGGGGGGCAGACATCAGCCTTTAGACTTGCAGTGCTAGCATGTGCCTTTGTGAGTGTCAGGTCTCCACCAGAAGAAAATCCCCTTGAACTAGCTCACAGAATGATCGCTCATGTACCAGCAAGACTGGATGTCAAGGTTAACAGAAAAAAAGGATCCAGGATGGAGACTTGCCCTTCTGGTGGCACAGCACAACGTTAGCTGTTCAGCTGTCCGTGGAGCAGCACCTCAGGGACTTGGGTTTCAAGGTGCTCTCAGTACAGTTGAACATTCAGGCCAAGATTTTCAGAATGAACTAAACCAATTTGGAGCATCTTAGAATTTGGTATCTGTACAAGGATTTGGTAATCAACAAGGGCTGAGTTCAAAGATGTGGTACCCACAGTCACAAGTTGCTCTTGGAAATATGGAGGAGCCCATTATGTTCTTCATCTGAAGTGAACTGCTTTATTCTTCCTGGTTCCTTGGTTCTCAAAAATAAAAACTGTGCTGTTGGAACTGAGTTTATTGGTCACTATCTTCCTGACCTACAGCTCTTCAGGAAAACCAGGAATGAAAGTATTAAAGGTTTATTTTTATCTAATCGACATGGGGAGAGGATGCAGATCTGCCAAAAGAGAAGCAGCTATTCCTGTCCAGTTAGAACTGTAACTGGCCTCTAGTAATGGCCATGGAGAGTCTCTGACAGAGAGCTTTTTGGGTTGGAGAAAAATTTACATGTACTCAACCGGCTTGTTATCTGCAATCTCATGATTGATGATACTTAGGATCAAATGAGAGATTGCCCTTTCCCAGCAAAGCATCTCTGTACTTAATCATCCGGAGTTAGACACCAGCATGTAAAATAGCCTACCTCTGCTGACTTCAGGAGAGTTTTTCTGATTGCATCAGCCAAGGATTTGGCCCAGTGTGCTATCTTTATGCATCTTGAGTTGTGAAGAGTTAGGTAAAATAGGGAACTGCTGCCCATTGATTTTGCTTACAGAAATCTGCTGATGAGAATGGGCTCCTGCACTGAACTTAAGATAACTTCTTGAATTCTTCAGCGTACTCCTTTATCCTTTTGTGAATCCTTTAATGTTCTTGTCCTGCAAATTGATTTTGGTAAGCTTTGTCTTCATGTAAGCAAACATACTGCAGTGGAATGAGTTTGGAATGAAACAGAACTAGAAGATGAGTAAAGTCTGACCGTGTGGTTACCTCTGCAGGCTTCTATCTCCCATCAGGAAGCTGTGGGCTGAAGTTCTGGGGTGGTCCCTAGAGCACAGTCTTACTGCACAGTGCAACAGCCGTGCAGAGAGTCCTGAATCACCCCTGACCGAGCCTGCACAAGAGCTGGAAATTGTGTGGCCATATCAGCAGAGCACAAGTCAGTTCTGCCTCCCAAGTTTCTGGCTTCACTAGCTAGTGTCAGACGTTGCGTATGCTGCTAGACTGCTGTGGGACAGGAGGAAGCACGTTGACACTTGGCCTTGTGTGGACAGCATGAGTTTGGATCAATGATAGCAGGCCTCTGCACTGCCGTTCACTGCCTGCTGTAGGCATACTCCTGCCATGTGGATTAGCTCTCTTAACTGGAGCTGTCTGAAAATTAGATGTCTAGGGAGAGATTCGTAGCTAAATGTTGTAAATCAGTGCTGGTTTAGACCTCAGAGGATAGCCTGTCTGGCCTCCAGCTGCCGCTCCCACGCAGAAGATGTGGCTAACTGGGCACGTTCTCTTTCTCCAAGGGACTGTGTCTGCGGTGGAAGCCAGGGTGAACACAATCTTCCATGGGTGATACGTTGTGAGTAGTATCTGCCGTGTTTGCCAGGGATTGGTGTGCTGTCGGTGCCCATGGCCACAGTCATCCTGATGGAGATCCATGTGCCTTTGCTGAGCTTCCGTGTTGTACACAGCTTCTGTCTGAAAGTGAAGGTCAGCGCAAGTGGATTCAGTTGCAGAATAACAGCTTGGAGATCAAGACCTTTGTTGTCTGATTTTTCCCAGGCAAACCACTTTTAAAATTGCCATGACAGAAAGCAGTTGAAGGGTGAAGCCTGCCATTTGCAGAGCAGTAGGAAAGCATTTTTTTGTGGCAATGTCATTATCTTGAACTTTTGCAGAAAAGAAAAAAAAAGAAAGGTTTATCTCTAACTGTCTATCAAGAGAGCAGTATCTGATGAGAAGTTCCCAGAACATTTTCTCCTCCAGACCAGCTGAGGCTACACAGACCCAAACAATGAAGAGAGAAAGATTCAGAGATGAGCTTGCCTCTCTCCTTCCTGTGAGCTCAGGCCATTCTGGGAGGAGTGAGACAGGGAGGTCAGGAAATTCCTGGCTTCTCTCAATTCACGTCAGATCCTTAGCTGTATCTTGGGGCCATTCATCCCTTGCATGAGTTATCCCTGTCTAGTGTGCAGGAAACGGTTTTCCTAGTGATCTCTTCATTCAGAGGTGAGGCTCATCACCCTGCAGATCTGGGGAGATTTAACCCTTGCGCCCTCAGATTCCCTGACAGCTACCCCAGGGACGTCCACGGGAAGACGTGGAGCTTCTGCGCTGGCTGCCTTGATATACGTTCATAACGTACATGCTAGCAACGAGACCCTCTAGAGAAATCTGGCTAAATTCAGGTTGGACAGATCTAGTATCCCATGAGGGACTAAGCTGGGTAGCAGCCTAGCCAGGCAGAAGGAGTGTCCGTTGCTTTTCGCCTCCTCAGTTACAACGCTGTGATCTTACAGGAGGGAGGCTTCCAGTTTCAGAGGCGCGTTGGACTGTGATCCTGCAGACAGAATGGCCAGCACAGCAGCATACAGTGGGACTGAGGGCCCTGGAAGAGGTTATGAGGAGAGGGATTGATAATTTTTTTTTCATCAGGTATTTTTGAAGACTGGAGGGTTTTTTTACGCTCTGAAAAAATCTGTTCATTAGTCCTTTAAACGCTACAAGATACATGAGGTACAGAGTAGGCCTGTGAGACTTCCAATTTGCCAAAAAGAAATTGCGTTGAATGTCAGAGATTTTAACAGTGAGCTATGGAAAAGGAACAGGACTAGTGGTAGTCAGTGATGTGTTGGCATGGCTTCCTGGGGACAAAAATGTGGCAAGTTTCCACAGAAACACCACAGTGAGTGTCTTTCATTCTTCCACCTGCGTAAATTGGCTTTCATGCTAACCAGCATGATTCTCCTCCACTTGTACAGATGAAAATCAGGATTAATTCCACTGATGTCAGTGCGATCACTTTACTGGAAACTGATAGGAGACCAGTGCTGAGCCCTGCGTCGAGTGTTTAGCCACTGCACTGCCTTTGCAGAATCACTGAGGTCAGAAGGGACAATTGGAGACAGTCATGGCCAACCTACCTGCTCAAAGCAGAGTGAAGTGGAGCAGGTCCAGTCAGGTGTTGAATATCTCCAAGGATGGAGACTCCACAACCTCTCTGGATAACTTGTGTCAGTAGTTGATTGCCTTCACAGTAAAAAATAGTATTTTGTCCTTATGTTTAAATAGAATTTCCTGTATTTCAGTTTGTGTCCATTTCCTCTTGTCCTTTCAATGGACACCATGATGTACCTTGCAAACCAATTTTTGCTGTGCTTGGAGAGCCAGCTGTCAGTGAGTAGATGCGAATTATTGCCTTCAACCAGAGGGAAATGGCCGTTCACCAGGGATGCCTCAGGTCCTGGGGGATCAATTTACAGAGTCGCTGGCTCGATATTTTGAAGTGGCAAGCGTTTGCTCTGCTAGTGAGTCAGTATTAGCTGCGGCTGAAATCACAGGATACATCGGGCACTGTCTCTCTCTGATTAAAGTTTCCTGGTGATGATAGATGTCCCCTGACACCTGAGGATCATTTCACCTTATTTCAGCAAAGTCTTGCATCTCAGTCCTTATTCTTCTGGCTCACTTGATGGAACTGGACTTCTTTTGACATTAATGTGCTTCTGAATTTGGCAGGATAGTGACAAGGTACCAAACCAAACACTCTGTGTCCCTGACAAAGGGAACTCTTCTGAGGGCATAAAATTTGCCGAGTGCCAAACCTCAGCATGGGGCAGGCCAGGGACAAAGAGGGACACAGTCGAATGCTCTTGTGCAATTTTAGCTTTTCTACATAGGATGCCTTGGGAAGCAAAACACATGTCAGAAGAGCTGTAAATTTGCTTCGATTTATGCTGGGAATTTTTGGCCGGAATATGTGGGGACACTGGGGATTGAAAATTGCAGAGCACAAAACTAGGTCCTGATTTTGTCTATCTAAGAATAGCAGTGTAGCTGTGGTCTGTTCATTCTGTTTCATCCACCAGTCTGCCTTGGGAAGGCTTTAATCTAAGTCTAATCTATTTTTAGCCTGATATCTTCTCCAGACAATGTGCAGCTGTCCTGTTAGTTTTATGCCAGAAATTAGTAACACTTGTATGATTCACAACTTTTTTTTGTATTTTTTTTGGTGGTTTTTTTTTTTGTATTTTTACAGAAAAATTCTGTGGCAACATATTACTTTTTTACATGTAATGCCATATTGTAAAACAGGAGATTTAAACGCACTGTGTGTTCATGGTATGACCTAGACCCAGAACTACACCTTAAACTCAGAGTCTTGGTGTTGGACCAAGTCTTGGACTTAGTCATGGGTCTGTTCTTGTCTTTGCTGCTTGATCTGGAATTGTCCTGTTGTCAGCATGGTCCCTTTGCAGGGTAAGCGTGCAAGTGTCTGGGCCTTGTACCATGTGCTTTTATAGCACCTGGCTCATCAGTGGTTGTGTAAGACAAAAAAACCAACATTCATACAGTGCAGGCTCTCCCATCAGTTATTCTAAGCCAAGCTTCCCAGTACATGGGAAAAAATTAGAATTAATCAACTTCTGGAGGCTTTGATTGTATATTTAGTCAATGGGAGGGATTTCCTGGTTTTCACCACACCGTTAAAGAGGTTTACTTTCTGGTTAAAGTCAAATAAACATACATAGGATCTGACTTAATCTCATTTAGAGAAACATATCTGGGGAAGAAGCTTGAGTGTTTGGTTAAGGATGGGACCTGGAAGTTGGACCTGGGGTCTGTTCCTGGCTCTGAGTTCCTACGTGAACTTGTAGCTGGGCAGGGGCAGGACAGGACATGTTGGTGAAATGCCTCGCACAGTTGACATCTTATACGTTCAGCAGATGAATAGTGCTTGTCTAGAGCACTCGATGGCTTACATGGATGTTTTTACTCTTCTTGTCTCAGGTTCTTGTTAGGTGGTCGTGCTGCCTGTGGTAAAGGGGAGGAAAACTGTCGGAGAGTTGCAGCGCACTCTGCGTGAGCAGCTGCTCGCTGTAGCTACTTTTGAGGTGGGAGAAATATCTCGGCCATGCAGAAAATGTAGGAGGAAAAACTTTACTGAGTTGCCTGTGCTGCAGAAGATCCATTCCTTAATCGAGGAAATAAAAGCACCGGCTCTAGCTGATGTTCTCTTTGTGCGGTTTAGGCTAAAATAGAAGGAGAGCTGCCTTATTCAGGTGACTGGGGGCCGGGAGACTGGGAATCATCGCTTTGCTTTATTGTGTGGCCAGCAGGACAGGGTACAAACCCTGCAGCTGTGTTAGCACTGGAGAGTTTTTGGATGCAGTGTTTCCCCCGCTCTGGGCCCTTTACTTCAAAAAAGGAAGCAGACAGGTTAAAACGATGCCAGGGAGAGGAAAGTAAATAACTGCCTAAAATGCCAGTTTGAGCAGCTGGATATCAGGTCAGGAGCTGTAACACAGAGATCCACTCATCACTCTTGCCTCAAGCAAATACGCCTCGGGCAGTGGTGGAAGTTTTGTCAGCCTGAGTGTGCCGGATGAAGGAGAACCTGCCCGTCCCACTTTGGCAGATTCTTGTTTTCTCTGTTTTTAAGGAAAGGAAATTGTACTTTTGCATTAAGCAATATTGTGTTGCTCATAATGAAGAGGAGGGAAGAGGGGAGGAAAAACAATTTGAAACACGATAGAGAGGCGAAGTGTGGTTATTTCAAACTATTTTGCTGTTAATCCACAATCAGAGTTATTTCACACATCAGAAAGACCATTGCTATGCAGAGATTGCTGAAGCCTCATACCAAGGTCAGATAGAAAGAAAGCCTTGATGACGTGAGTGGGGAATTCTATAATGACCACATCTTGTAATCTGGAGACCTTGTGCTTGTCTCCAGGATGCATTCTGGAATAGCTCTTTATTAACTCCTTGTTTTTATCCTGCTTCAGTGATGGGATTCCTTATGTTTTACAGTGAAACTGGAGTAAAGCCCTCCTGTTTTGGAGCAGGAAGTTGGTTAGCACTCTTTTCCCTGTTCATTCACCTTACTTTCATCCAAATGAACTTTATTTTGGAGGCAAAGTTGAAGCAGTCCACTGTGGTGTGTCCCTTCAGCTCAGTTCCAGTGAGAGCAGGAGAGGTTACATTGCCAGACTGTGTGCTTTGTCCCTTCTGGGTGGGCGACAACACACGTTACTCTCTGCAGCTCCAGATTATTTTTGTAAAAATGCAAATATGTTATGTGATAACGAGAATAAGTGAGTTTGTCACTTGGCACAGCCAACACTTCAACTGTTGTTCTGGCTGTCCGTCTCTCTGTGGTCTGTCTGAAATGTCTGTACCGTTGACCTGTTTATATTCTAGCATACATTTATCTGTGCTTTTTAACCTTTTGGTTTGTAGACCCTTGAATATTTTTGAGGAAGGTTTGTATCTTTCTAGAGGGAAGTTAATCCTCTTGGGAAAAAAAAAAAAGCTTGCTTTGCTTAGTTATTTTTCGCAGACTCACAGGTAGTCTTTGAAGTCTGAGATCGACCAACTTGTGTTGAATTTCCCCGATGTGCAAATAGAGGTCCTGTATGTCTCCTCCTGAAAGGCTGTTTCCAGTCACCACAAATTTGACCCTTCTTTTGCATACATCTGTGATTGTCTGAGGTCGGTGAAAAAGGCTATGCCCTATAAGCTATTATATTTCTCAAAGGTCTCCTTGCTCTGGGGGAGATGGGTACTGTTCCTTGTGCCACCAAAACCATTCTCCGTCCCTGAAGCTGAACCCGTTGCTTTCACAAATCTTACGGTCCCAATTCCATCCAGTATTCCAATTTTGATTCCTTGCCTAATTGTTTTTCTGGAGAACAGGATCACACTGCACAAACCCAAGAGGATCCAAGAAAACACATTGTAGTTTTAGAAGCTGTATTTCTAGCAGGAGCCTGTACTGTGAGAGTGATCACTGTTTCTGATGGTTCTTACAGCTAAGCTGCCTGAACCTTGCATTTAGCCAGCAAGAGGTGATAGGACCCAAGAAGAAAAGGAAGGTCAGTGAACCGGAGAAGCCGCTTCTGGAAGGCGGGAAATTATGTTCATTCTGACACACAGTACATTGTGGAAGGTGTGAGTTTGCCTTGTCATCTGACTAGTAGAGACCTCTATGCTCTTCCAATATTCAACTCTTCCATGTACTGCATGTATTTCTGCGCGTTTATTTAGTCTAGTGCAAAATTTGGATTGTGAAGAGACAGCACCACAATTTGTCATGATGTTGTCAACCAACAGCACTTGTTTGATGTTTTAAAGTTGAGGATTTATGATTCCATGTGAACGGTGTCTGCGTGGTTCTTTTTCTCCGTCTCTCTCACTCCCCTCCGCCCCACCTCTCCCCTGGGCTAGATTTCCTCCTCTGTGGCTGGACCGTCCTTTGTCGATATGTCATCAATATTTAATATTTCATGATGAACTCTCTGAGGTATCAGTGCCAGCAAGCAACAAGTCTCATGATTCTCTAGATTGTGCTTAGCTTCATCCTATCTACTGTTTCCGGAGCATAGATTTTTTTTTTCCAAGAAGGGTTTTTATCTATATTGAATTCAGAGATAAAGTAATCTACACACAGTTTCTGCTGGTGCTGAATTTTTTTTTTCTGACTCTGCAAGTAGTGTTGCTATGACTATATTATCAGCTTATTTCTAAAACAGCAATCCACCATGAGCCAAGGGCCTTAGACAGTTGTACGATATAAATTGTGTAGAAATACACGACATTTAAAACTTTCATAAAGGTACCTTATGGCTGCAAATACAGGTAAGGAGAACAACAGCAACAAAAGAAAAAAAATTCTGTGTCCCTTGGAGCAAAGGTGCTTTGTGTCCTGTAGATTGCCTGGCAGGCATTCCGTCAAGACCTGATGGTTCTTACTGGAGTGGGAGGAGCACAGTGGTCTTAATTGGCCTTAGACATTTAAAAACAGATGTTCAGGGAACAGCCCTTACATTACTTTATGCACGTGGCAAAAGAGATACGGAAATAGGAAACAGTGAAGAAGGGAATGTAGTGCAATCTCTTCCCATCGTAATGTTGATTGCCTGAAGATTTCAGATCTTACAGTGGTGGGGAAGTAAAAGCACTAGGGTACAACAGAGTAACGTACACCTGGCTGCGTAGCAGCATCCCTGGCATTTTGGATATGCAGCAAAGATATTTGGGGACAGGACTTGAAGAGCAGCAGTGGGTTTGGATGTAAAGTGTTTCTTTTGTGGTGTATGTGACAGCTGTGGAGAAAGCAATGAGGATCACTTGAGAAGTAGCTGACCTGTAGTGTCTGCGGCATCTGACTGGAGGACCTCGGCCACCAGTGCCATCGCTTGATGCACCAGGTTCCCTATCACCATTAATACGGTGACATCTGCTGCTGTGGCAGTGCTTGAGGTTGGCTCCAGACATCAGGGATCTTCCTCACTGCTGAAACAGTGATCTTTTCTTGACTGGATAAAAGGTGGGGGTCGATGCATCTCTCTTGTGCTTTTACTCTGGTTGGCCATCTGAAAGAGTTGAAAACCGGGCTAGAACTGGCTGACTGGGTCGAGGTAATGCTGAGGCTGCAACACCACTAGATGCTCAGTCCACCTCCTTCTCCAGGTAGCAGTCCCACTGCTGATACCACAGCTGTCCTTGCTCTGCCCAAGGCAGACAGACCACTCACTGTCCCTGCGTCTGCAGCGGCGTCTAGCAGGTTTCGTGGCTTGATGCCTATTTCACGAAACTAGTAGGACGTGAGAGTTCTCCATTTTATCCTCACTTTCGGTCCTGTGTTCTCATTTTTGCACCTGTGGCCCAATAAGCCAGTTTGTTCACATGCCAGAGCACACCAGAAACCTTCCTTCTGCCCAGACTTTGTAATGGTATTTGCTCTCACGCCTGCACATCCACGAGAGGCCTGCGTTCCTCGCAGGACAGCTCAGGACCTGCCTTGACCTGAAAGCTCTGCCCTGGCGCTGCTAGAGTCCATGACTTCCATTCTCCTTTGTCCCACCGACTCCTGCCTTCACCCAAAGCCTTGTTGTGCTGTTGCGTTGTGTGTATAGGAGAAAGTCAGACATGTCTGTGATGACGGCTACTCCAACAAGTCAGTCCGTCTCCTATACGCATGATACCACGCATGCCAGCGTGCTTGGTGCCCGCTGGAAGATGCAAAGTGTCTTGTCCCACGATGAAAGTGAAGCTATCTTGTGTTACCAAATAGTAAGAGTGTGCGCGTGGACATCATGAAGTAAATCCACAGCTTAGTTGACTGCACAATGTCTTGGTCTTGTAGCCATGGCCAGAGGCTCACTGTCTCAGTTGACATTGGCTTTTAGTCATTTTCATTTCAGGCTCGGTTAGAAATAAAATAGCTTGTAATGAACTGCCACAGTAAGCATCTGATTTTTCTTTCCTACAAACTTGTGATTACCATCAGATTCTAAGAAAAGTCTTTCCACTGCAGATTTGAATCATATAAGCCACTTACACATATCCTTTTATTTATTAGCAATTCTGCTTGGCTAGCTAAAGGTAAAAAACCCTTTTTCTTGTGTTTCAGTCACATTTCTAGTTAATACTCATTAACTGACTTAATGTATGTTACACATCATCAACCTGATTCACTACTGACATAAAACAGAAGCAATTCGTTAGTAACGGTCCCTTGCCAATTAGTGAACTAAATTACGTTTGAATAATTTTCTTCAAAGATTCTCCTCCTCCCCCATGCCTCATTTGGCAAGTCCCCTGAATGCTTACAGTAATTATGTGCGTGCAGTGAAAGGAGACTGTTACCTCTTAAACCAAAATAAATGAATATGTGATCTTTGTGCTAATGTAACAGTGAGTAATACAAAGAATCACCGACATCCTCCCTTTGATCTCCGAAAGATACGAACAGCAATTAAGATTACAAGCCACTTTAAAAACCAGAATATTGGGAACATTCCGTAAGGGGAAAGTGAACGCTTCACAGGATTTTTCAGAAAATCAGCGAAGAAGGGGAACTCTATTTTGTTTATCATGACCACAGGCTCTTTAATAGATGAAATGTGGATATCCTTAACCTGCTGAGCCACAAACAGGTTGACGGCACTTCTAAAAATCGTTCTTTGTTTCTGGGATAGTGTTTAACAAGAAGAGTAGTATCTCTGTTTCAAATTGAAAGTTAAGTCAAATGGAAAATATATTGTCTCAACCACATCCTTGAATACCCGTTCTCAACTAGAAAATAACCCCAGCCCCAGTAATCGTATGGACAGGTGTCGACATTCGTTTTTCACCTGAAAACAGGATTCTTTTGGGATTTCCACTGCTGCGTGCGATCTAGGAAATCATCTGATCTGATTGCTGCTGCTTTCGGTTTTAGAAGGAGAGCAGAAAGAAGAAATGAAACATGACACAGGAGTAGGAGAAATGAAAATTCTTTTGTGCTTAAAACAGGAGAGTCAGGAGTTTTGCCATTGATTTCAGTGGAACGTGGAGTGACCTCTGTCCCTGGTGGTAATACAAAAATCATGTTGTAATGCTGTCCAGATGAGCTAAGCAATTATTTTTTTCCTCCAGTGGATTTCTGAAGTGATAGCAGTGAAATCCCTTGCATATACCTTGCTATAAATGTGATTAGAAAACAGCTAGCATTTTCACGAGTACAATTCTAATCATCAATCTTTACCTGAAGAACTGTTCCGTGAGATTACCATCTCAGGATTTTGGCTGGAACTTTAATTTTTGTAGGTTCTGCATTCTTCCTCTTGAGTCAGCAGGTAAAGTATGTGGTTGTGGCCTGCTGCATGGAGCGCCTGAGTTTGTCATGCCACAGGATTGCCATTCTTGGGGGGCCAAGATCCTCGTCCCAAAAGCATCATGTCACCCGACTGGAATCCCACCCACGTGTGTCGCTGGGCAAAGTCTTTTTTTTTTTTTTGTTAATGGATGAGTAAAATTTCATCAGGCTTTTGTTGTCATCACGAGGGAAGTAAGAGGGATTTGCATCTGAGCTGGCACATTTTCCATAAGCAGTTTCCAAGGCTACTTGAAGTCAGGTTGGCATGTATATCTTTCCTTTAAGCGGAGGCTGAAATTCCAAAGCCTCACAGGAGTTTTCCATAGGAAACGCCGCCCTGGGTATCTGTGTGCCAGACATGCCTGTATGGCATTTCCCGGAGCATCAATGACCTACTGTTCTAACTCAGAATCGACTGGCCGCCTTGTGACGTCTTCTAATGTACCTTGCTGTGGAGTTTGTCGTTTATGTGCTAGAAAAATAGCAATTAAGATAGACTAGCTGTAAAATCTCTGTGGATTCAACCGAGTGATCCTGTGGTCCGGTTGTAGCAGAAATAATACAACTGTCCCCATTTACTTGGCATGGTTTGTTTTGGAAGGGCTAACGATTCCCTGTGCAAGGATGTTTTCTTGTCTGATTAGCTAATGGTTTAGCTCTGCATTTAACACCTTTCTAAGGAGGGGATCTTTGTTATGGAGAAGATGTACCCTCAAGCATAGTTCGGGAAGGTTCAGGGCCTGTTGCTGCTATTTACAAGGAAGCCCCAAGTCCTGCCCTGGAGGACTTTGAGAAAGCACTTACCCGGTAGGCAACTATAAGGTGCCGGTTCCGTTTACAAGCATGTCATGATATATTCTGTTCGTATTACTTGTATTTCTTCACAGGGCGTGCAGTGAGGGGATGTTTATGCTGATGAAAGTCTAGGCTTGGTACAGAAAACCAAGTCCTTTGTGCAGTAGATGATTGACCTTTTTTCAGTAACAGAGGGTAAGACTGTCTAAACACAGGAAAATGGTGTCTCTAGAAAACAAAGTGGCATTTTGAGTTGGCTAGAATCTACCCAAGCCTCTGCCAGCCTCAGAACCGTGAATGTCAGCCGAGCAGGTGGTAGAGATGCAGCCGCGGGTCAGGGACTTGTCAGGAGAGCAAGGGGCACAGTTGCTTTTTGTCCCCAAATACGTTTTCTGAGAAGTTTAGTCTACCCAGTAAGTTGAAACCGCGTGTCCCTGGGGGCGAGGCACAGCACTGGGGTGTGGGGGACCTCTCTGTGTGTCCCAGTGGGGC